CAAAAAAAATAACAGTTCCAGAAGGAAGAGCAAGAAGCAGGGAGCGAGGAATGGAGGGACCAAGGGAGGAAAAGAGAAAGGAAAGAACATGAATTCCTTTTGCTTTTCTTTTTTTTTTTTTTTTGGTGGTACCAGGGATTAATCTCAGGACCTTGCACTTGCCAGGCAAGCACTTGTTTGACTGAGCTATCTCCCTGGCCCAAAGGAAGTTTTTATTTGTTTGTGTGCTTTTTATATACTTAGTACAGGGTCTACAGGATCTCACTACATAGATCAGACTTGTACTGATTCTCCTGTTTTCAGCCTCCCAAGAACTGGGATTACAGATGCACGCCACCACGCCCAGTTTCAGTTGCCATCTCATTGCACCCTGGGGACAGGGCTGCCATGGCATGCCAGGGATCAAACCCCAGCTGCTGCACTCTGCCTAAGCAGGCATTTAATCTGCTGAGCTATCTGGCCGGCCCCCTGTGTCCTAAATGTTCTTCCACCTCCCAGTGGCACTGCAGACAGGTGACCAAGCCTTTAACAGATAGGCCTTTGGGGATATTTATTCCAGCCATAATACTTTCCTTGCCATGAATCCCTTCCAGAAAGCATCTCAGTCTGTCATGTAAGACACAGAGTGACCTGCCCTGGCATTCTTCAGTCATGAGCCTACTTGTCCTAGTTTTGCTTTTCCAAATTCCAGTGTCTCAAATGCATAAAATAGCAAAGTAAGTGTCAGTGAATTCTAAATGGGGAAGACAAGGGATGGTTCTAGAAGGATTTTTTAAAAGTGATTCCCAAAAGAGGCAAGTGGGATAAATCAGAGTGGTCTGTGTTACAGAGATAAGACAAGCAGACAGAAACTCTTTAATAGTAATATTGAATGTAAGGGAAGTAAATTTCTTATAACTGTTATCTTGATCAGTTCTTCCTCTGTAGCAGTTCTGAAATTTAGTGAGTTCAAACATTGCCCATTCTGAGTTCTGTGACAACAAAAGTCCACATTATTGACCTTAGATTTCCCCATTGTGATGTCACCTGACATCAGAATAGAAGAACAGTCAACCAGGATGACATAACCATTTTAATTTCTGACTGTGACAACACCATTCTGCATTATAACCTCATATTTCCCATTAGGACATTACCTTGACATCATAATAGAGCGATCAACCATTATGACATAGCCATGCTGATTTCTGACTGTGACATCAATTAGCCTGTATTATAGGTCATACATCTGTGGAATGGCTGAGTAACACAAGTTACTGAAAATGTTTGTGCTTCTCTATGGATCTGTAAAAATTTTAGATTTTTTTCTTTAAATTTTATTTATTTGTGTGTGTGTGTGTGTGTGTGTGTGTGTGTGTGGCCAGCTCAGCCCACCAGGGGGCGGAGCTGGCTGGCATGTGGTGCTGGGGGATTGAACCACAGTCCCTGTGCTTTGCTGAGCTTGTTCTAAGTAGGTGCTTTAGACCACTGAGCCATCTCACCAGCCCCCAAAATTTCAGATTTTAATGATGTCTAATTTAGCTTTTGGTTGTTGTTGCCTTTTCTTTTGGTGTCATATGTAGGAAACCATAGACAAATCCAAGATTGTGAACATTTGCCCCTAATGTTTTCTTTGAAGAGTTTTCATAGTTTCTCTTTAATTTCAGTATTTAAAGTAAGTAAGGGAAGGGCTTATTTCTGCCATTTAGGTGTTGATTTTTTGTGTGTTGTATACTTTTTGTTTCTCAAATCCATTATTACTAATTATTATTATTTTAGTTGAATTATAGTATCCTATAGGTTGAATATCTCTTATCCAAAAATGCTTAGGATCAGGAATGTTTGAGATCTGGGAGTTTTTCAAATTTTATAGTATTTCAACAGATTTCACTGATGGAGTATCCCTAATCTGAAAATCTCAAATCTGAACTGCTCAAGACTTTTTGAGTTTTGTGTCATGGGCAGTTTCAGATTTCAGATTGTTACGTTAGAGACCCTAACCTATGTTTTGATTCTTCTTCTCTTTTATATGTATTTTGTAGGTTTTTATTTGCAGTGTTTATGTTTTACCATCTTACAATGCATTCTTTTGTATTGTTATTGTCACAGACTGCATATATTGTGTGTCAATTAATGTAATTATTGTTTTATATAGTTGCCTCTTGAATGATACAGAAAAAAAGAGTAATTGCAATCCAGAAGTATAGGAATACTGACTGTTGTATTTATCTGCATAGTTACCTTTACTGGTGTTCTTTTTTTATATTAATTTTATTGAGAAAAAATAATATTGAGACAGTTTCAAAACAGGTTAGTAGGACAGTTACAATAAATACACTGCATCTTGTTTTCTTAGTAATTATTCATAGTACAAGATGTAGATATGATATCTTGTCTAAGCACCCGGTGTTCTATATTACTTCCTAAAGCACAGCCTACATGGCCTTTATTGCATTATATTATACTGTTTATAAATGTTTTATAACTGTTAGATAGTTCCTTAAAGATATGAACAATTTCTTAAGGATCTTTGTGTTTCTACAATTAAAGTACTGCCTTGGAGCATCGTGTTCAAAAAATGTTGTTTTAATTATTATTTGAATGTATTGGTTAATATAAGCTTATTTAATTAAGATTGCATTTGGTTTTGTTTTAGTCTCCATTCTTAGAGATTTTAATTAAGACATGGTAATAATAATAATCACCAAGTGATAATGAACAGATGGTAGTAAACACTAATATGACTCATAAGGAAACAATACAATGTGTTATTGCAGTCGTAAGTCATTAAAGAGGTTTTTGGAGGGAGTACTCCATCCTTAATAGCTTCATGTTTTATATAATATGTAGTAGAGCATAATAAATGGACAAAAATCTTATATCGATTGTGTTGGCTGTCACTGTATTAATTTTCTGTTGCTGTGTAGCACATTACCACATAGTAGCTTAAAACAACACACTTTCATTATTTCCATGAGTCATGAGTCTCAGCATGGCTCTGCTGAGTTCTGTACTCAAGAGTTCTACGAGACTGCATTCTCGTTTGGAGCTTGGGATCCTCTTTCCTGCACATTTAAGTTACTGGCAGAACTCGATTCCTTCTAGTTGTAGGACTAAAGTTCTTCCTAATGCATCCAGAGGCTGCTCTTGGCTCTTGCTTCCAGTTCCATGCATGTAGCCAACTCACAGGCCCTTTCATGGCAGTTTACTTTCTCAGGGGCAACTTGATTCTTTATGGCACCATCTACCTAAAACAGGCTCTTAGACAAGTTGTATTCATGACAGTAACTTCACAACCTTTTGCCAATAATACGTGTTAATCAAGTGATTGTTTTGTAACCTTTGCCATATTCTGTTGGCTGGAAGCAAATCATAGCAGCCACTTCTCAAGGAAGAGACTGAGAAGGTGTGACTGTCTGGCTATGTTAGGGTGTGTCTGCCCCATTCATCTCTAGCTAAATGATTTTTAAAACTCCTTCTTCTGAAACTATGCTTCATACTACTGGATTTTAAACTAGCACTTTATGGTTTTCTTTTACTTTTTTTTGAGACAGGGTCTCACTGTGCAGTTTGGGCTGGCCTTGTGCTCACTTTTGTAGCTCCCAGGTTGGTCTCGAACTCACAGCTATCCTACTGTCTCAGCCTCCCAAGTGCTGGGATTATAGGCGTGCTCCACCATGCTTGGTTCCTTCTTTTACTTTAATACTCCATTTATCATGCAAAAGTACTGGAAGTTTTTTTAATGAAAACTTAAAACATGATATCCTATAGAAAAGAAGCAACCTCTTTCATGCATTATTTTCTTTCTATTTCTTGAGTTCACATTTGAAAAGGTTTAGGTTAGAATTAGTTAGAAAACTGATTTGAATGGGGAAATTGTACTAATTTTTTCTTAAATTTAGGAAAGATTATGGAAGTAAAAATTAAAATACATTTTAAAATACTAACTTAAGGCTTTATAGTCTCAATAGCAGTTGGCTGGCTTTTAGAGAGCAGGAAAATGAATGTTAGAGCCAAAAATATGACTTCTTTGGCTGTGACCAGGATTTCCTCTTCCCACCTTGGGGACTAGAAAGTAGAGGTAGGAAAATTTCATTTGGAGCCAAGTGTGACTTGTTTAGTTCAAGTCATAATTTATTGTGCATACCTAAGGGACCTGAAATAAAGAAACCCACTATGAAATGTTGATAATGGACCACTCTGAAGGGCAAGCATTAAGCTAACTTTCCCGGTGAGGATTTTTTCACTTCCTTCTTTCCCAGATGCTTCTGATCAGTCTATAAGAACGTATGACTTAGTCATATAATAGTTTAAAAGACAACTTTCTATATACCAAACCAAAGGATTTGAGGGGCATGAGAAAGAACCAAGACTTTTATGCAACTAGGTATCAGTGAGAAAGTATAATTACAAGTGAGTTGTTTTCTTTTAATGCAATTAATTCATAATACATAACAGGACAGCCTTTCTAGTGGGCTTCTAAGACACATCTTTTGTCCAGTTATAGCTACAAAAGCCTCCAACATTATGATTCAGTTATCCACATCTCAACATGAAAGTAGTTTGTGAGACACAGTAAAATGTGTTTAGATTTTAAAATTGTGGATTTTTTCTGTATTCTTTAGGATGATTTACTAGTAAAGAGAAATATTCTCCCATTTTGATTATAGTGTTTTTACTCCTCTGAGGAAAAGTTCATATACAGAGGCATGTGTTTAAAATTCTGTTTGCTTTTTTTTTTTTTTTTTTTGCAGCACCTGGGATTGAACTCAGGACCCTGTACTTGCCAGGCAAGCACTTACTCTACTGAGCTATTTCCCCAGACTCTGTTTTTCATTTTCTTGATAATTTTTTTTTTTTTTAACAAAAGTACAGGTAACCTGTCTCAGAGAATTTGTAAAGTGAAATAAAACTACGTTTGCAGTGTTGTAAACAGATCATGCAAAATTAATCAGCAGAGTTTATCACTTATGTAAACTGTCCGTAGAAGATTTAGGAATAGAGTGTTCTATAAATTCCATGAAAACATGGAGCATGTCACAAATTTGTGTTTCATCCTTGCTCAGGACCTATGCTAATCTCTGTATTGTTTCAGTTTTAGTATATCTGTTGCTGAAGAGAAGACAATAGGTTTTATACTTTAAAAATGTTTAAATGGTATGTTACAACTTTTTTATTTGTTTTCATAAAAATTGATGGTAATATTCAGAAATGTTCTTATAATTAAAATAATTTATGGCAATAAACTTTTATATGTTTTGCGTGAGAGAGAGACAGACAGAAACTGAGACTGAGACTGAGACTCAGACAGACACAGACACAGAGTCTTGCTATGTAGTCCAGGCTGGCCTTGAATGCATGGCAGTCCCTTTGTCTCAGCCTTTGGGATGCCACCAGACCTGGCTTAAGATCATAAGCTTTACTTGTATAATTTTTTTTCCTGTTTTAATAAGGACTTTTTTATTTTGAGAAAAAAGATCCCAAACATCAGGTGTTCACAAAAAATAACTCACAGTATCAACTTTAGAAAACAAAGACTATTACAATACATTAAACCATGTTAAACCAGTGGTTTCAGGTATCAGATTGATTGATTGATTGATTTTAGCCTTTTTGAGACAGGGTTTCACTATGCAGTTCAGAGTGGTGTTAAACTCACTTTGTAGCCCAAGCTGGCTTCGAGCTGACAATGATCCTCCTGCTTCAGCCTCCCAAGTGGGTTTATAGGCATGAGTCACCATGCCTGGCTTAGGTATCATATATTATCAGATGACGACAGATTAGAATTCTTAAATCCAAATATTTCTTTTTAGAGAGAATCTTGTCCTTTCATGATTGTCATTGCTTTGGTGACATTGGAAATATTCATAAGTAGCTGAATGAAAGCAAGAATGTAAGAATGTAGCATACAAAAATGAACCTTTTGAAAGGTTCACTGGTTTTTTGGGGGGCTTTTTTTTAGAATTGGGGAACTCAGGCCCTTGTGCTTGCCAGGAAAGTGCTTATTCTACTGAGCTATCTCCCTGGCCCTTGTTCTTTTTGATTGACTTAGAAATTATATTTTTATCCAATTCTATTAATAAACTTGAGTGTTTCACCATTCACTTATTTTTTGCATTTTAAAAAATTATTTATTTATTTATTTGGCACAGGATCTCGCTACACAGCTCAGACTCGTAATGATTCTTTTGTCTCAGCCTTCCCAGTGCTGGGATTACAGGCATGTGCCACCACGCCCAGTTTCAGTAGCAGGCACAGCATATGGTACCAGGGATTGAATTTAGGTCCTTGCGCTTGCCAGACAGACACTTAGATCGCTGAGCTACCTCCCAGGACCTATTTTTTGTGTTTTTATTGGTATATTTTAGATATACATAATGATAACACTCATCATAGGGGATCTTGTTTCTGTTTTTCCCATCCCTTCTTCTCCCTTCAAAC